GAACTTAAAATGACTTTATGGTCTCAAACCTTTTAATTCGAAACTGCAATTGACAACATCCACGGAGGTTTGAAAAATATCGACCATCTATTAAGCGACATAGAAGTGCAAATTATCAAGGACCCAATGTACATGCATTGCTTAGAATTTCTATCTGTATGGCAATTATTTCACTTTGCAGGCAAACATTTTGTAGCTTTTTGTATTTATTTACAAAAGGAAAGTAAGTATCACATCGTGCGTGTGAGTTACAGTATTTTCTGATCTTTTTATTATTTTTGGTTCACAACGTATAGATATATCAGATATAGGCATTACGGTTCTTTACACTGGTAAACTTTGCCGCATTAGATCAATTTATTCCATATACTTTGTATCATGAATAAGGAGCTTTTTATACTAGGGAATTAATCCAAACATATTTATTAACATATCGCCACTAGCAAAACACAACAGTAGAAAAGGCTAGTTTTTACAGGTGTAAAAGGGTAGGAGGTCCTATAAAATTAAGGTGCTACTTTCCATTGATTTTTATGGTGACCTAAATACAACTCTTCCCCTTATTATCGTATCCACAATCAGGGCCAGTAAGGGCCTTTAAGAAAGGGGACCATAATCCCCAGGGGACCATAATTTCTTTTACACCGGCAAAATTATTCCAGTGGACTGTTATGCATCTGCTGTATAAACAGTCTAAACTACGTATAATATTTAGAAGTGTTTAAACAAACGAATTGTTTGAGTCAAATAGAGTAAGAATTAATTACAAAGCCTAACTTAAGAACAAGAACCGCCAGAGTAATTTATCAATCACAATCGAAAACTACAAGCCCAATGGACGTACAAGTTACAAGATTAGTATACTGAAGTCTGTACAACAGATAATGAAGAGCAAAATATTCATTGTACACTGGCATATAATAATGTCAATAAACTTACTTAAATTGCTAGCTTGGTGACAAAAACATTTGAACGTTGAAGGTGGAACGCTTTTCAGATGCTCAAAACATTAGTTTTTTAAATCAAGATATAGTAACTTAGATATACACGCCCGGTGATGGTAAAATGGGACGGGGGGGGGGGGGGGGCAGTCAATTTCTGCTAGACTTTTTTTTCTGAACTATTTTTCTCAAAATAATGGGATCATTCACTTATACGAGACTGGGCCAGAAAATTCCTTACCAGATATTTTACTTTTTTTGGCTCACACGTGGCACACGGCCTTTTGGATTGACTAAGCGTCCATTGGCCCGTCGGTCCATCTGTCCGTCTGTCAACATTGACCTCACAAATTAAAACTGCTATTCGTAATAGCTCATATCCACTTTCATTAATGTATATCCATAATGGCTATTTGATCTGTCATCGCCATTTTCAAGATTTCTTTAAATATCAGACACTTTGTTAAAGTAAACTTTCAACTGAATAGTTGCTGCATGTGCAACATATGTTCTCTGACGATTTCAAAGCTCTAGGAATTACATAGTTTGATGTTTACTCTTTAACATTTTCTGGGTTCTTTCTTATGTATGAAGTCAATGGAAAATTGAAGCGTGATCGATGATGCCATCTTGCGAGGAGTAAATCGCCAGTCTTTAGACATCACACCGGAATAGCCTGACAACGGTAGAGTCAGATACCGTTGTCACAAATGGCGGACATAACCGTCGCTTCAATTCTTTAATCACTTGGTCCTCGTTTCAGGACTTTATCGTTGCTTAATCTGTGCATGTATTGAAGGGGTGACAAGGCCTGTAGAGAGAAAATTCAATTTTTCTGACCTATCGGGGCAATCTTTGGCTTAACATCCACATTTGACATACCTATTTTCTCAATTCTGTAAATTAAGTTTAAAGCTTCTATAGAGGGAGTCCCCCTTATATATTTTTAAGATTCACCATGTTTCAAGAGGAATAAAAATACACACCAGTAATCTGACTCTTATGGAACAAGTTTGATGAAAAACGGTGCAGTTTGAGACTCACAATCCTTGATTTCCAAACATCTGGTAGGTCAAAATTAAAATTAACGGTCGAAGTTACTACGGCGTGCCATTTAGCAAAAGCGGACGTTGCCTTCACCCAACCCAGTGGCGGATCCAGGGAGCAGCCCACGGGGCCAGCCCGCCCCTAAGTTGGGCCCAGAAAAAATTGGAACCAAAATAATTTTGGACCAAAAAAGGCTTAAGGTCATTACTGGGCCCTCTAAGGCCTTATTTTTTAATTTCAGACCACATTTGGAAGAAAATGGGCCTCACAATTGCAAATTTGGGCCAAGTTTTCGGTTTTAGGGGCCCAAAATTCGGAATTTTTTCCTCTGACCCGAAATTTGCCACCCCCCTTGTTGGTTCCTGGATCCGCCCCTGCCACCATTCTTGAATCACCATATATTTGAAAACATATATTTAAAATTATATTTCCCGCGGTGTGTGTAACTTAATATCTTCGTATTCACATTGACCAAGATACATTTTATATTATTTCTTATGTGTTTAATAATGGGCGTTAAGACATTATTTAACACGCGTTGAAAAGCATCCATACGCCCGTCGAGTTTATTTTAGCGCCGTGAATTATGAACCAATCAGCATCTTGCTTACATAGTGATACAATGCATTCTAGCTAAAAGTGCAACTCCAAGATCCTTGTGCAAGTTAATAACATACTCATGACTGTGCCAGGGACAACTATTGCAATTTATGGCATATGAAACATTATTTCTTTTCTGGGTTTCTTGGTGCACTATTTGTGCATATATGAAAGATGTACATGTGACTCTAAAGAGGACTGCATATTGATTCCAAAAAGTACACATCTCCCTAATACCAAATTTGAACAAACGTTGGCTAGGTATACTAGGCATATAGGCTTATCTGACATTTTCAGTACATTTTCAAAAAATGCCAGATCTATAGGATATAGCTATAGTCTAGAGTCAATATGCAGTTGATCAGATACTATTAGTATCTGAACACATCCTTTAGAGGGATACATTAGCGATCTGACTGTATAGTGCTTTGTAAGCTGCAATGCGTGTGAGCTTAATTAAGTCCCTATCCCTGAAGCCGACGCCTAGATTGGAGAATAATCCCAAAATTATCGTATTAAGAAACCATACATGTATACCTTCTCAAAATATACTGCAATTTTATCGTTTCTACAATGGGTGTTGATAACTGCCAACATAGTACATGTATCTTCAATTTGCCTTTTAATTTGCTCTAAAAATTGAATATTTTTTTTGTTACGTCTAACAATCTTGAACGAATATTTAAGGACCTCAATACAACACACTAAAATGTAAGCGGGCTTCTCAGGATTGTTATTTACTTACGCAAGGATTTTGGAGTTTCTCTTTTAGCAAGGATGCATTAAATCATTATGTAAGTAAGGTGCTGATTAGTTCATAATTTACGGCGCTAAAAATAAACTCGACGGGCGTGAAGATGTTTCTCAACGCGTGTAAAATAACCATCTTAACGCCCGTAATTAATCAATTTAACGCCGTAAGTTTACGCCCGTAAATGTTGTTTGAACGCCCGTAGAATTTACTTCTTCACGGTCGTTATTTACGCCTACACAGGCATAATTGTACGTCTGCACGGGCGTAATTTTACATCTGCACGAGCGTAATTAACGCCTACTCACCCGTTAACTAGACGTGCATTCTTTGGGCTGGTAAGCCAACCATAGATACCGATAATGGACGGTTTGGTTACAAAAGCTTTACCGGTGCGGTACGACAGATATTCTTTGATTTACCCATAAGCAGCTTCATATCTAACTCCCAACATTTTGATACATTTTGACATAGCAAAACTTTTCAATACTCATCAAGGCTTTTCTTTCTTGAGATGGATTAGTTATTTTTTACTATAACTTCTCCTTGGTATTTCCAGCTAAATAGCCATTGTACGATTAATTTGTCATTTTAATTTGGATGAATATACGCTAGGATTCACAATGCTACAACTAAAGCGAGGATTACATTTTGATTATGCCATTCATTAAAAAAACTTATTTTGACCATATTTCTTTATCATTGTATTCTCAAAATACAGAAACTTTAGTCGTTTTTGAACACCAAATTTCAAATCGAAGTTCGCACAAGTGCCATTTGGATTAAATTGGGTGTCCGAAAAAGTGAGCCACATTTTGACAAGTACTTGTATTATCGGCAACTGATAAATTAATTCATTGAAATGTCAAAAATTCCCATACCGGAGCTCTGTATAGTGTTTGTACCCGCTATCACCTTCGCACGCTCGGTCTCCACTGTGTTTGATGGGAGCCGAGGGATATCTTATTAATTATTATCATTCATCCCAAATATCCCAAATCCGATTCAATCTCAAAATTCATCGGAGATGATATTTTTAGAATAAATACGGAAAAGTATTTTTGCTTGGAAATGCATTAATAAGTGACTTTTACATTGATATTGGTTATTTTGACAAACTGTCTTTAATATTAAAATACACACATGGCAGGTAAAGTTTTCAAAGAATTTACTTGTCAAATTGCTCCATATTTTTTTGTTACAAAAACTATGAAGTTCTCATTGCATTGCTCCGGTATGGGATATTATGACATGATATCTTGAACTTCTCAGTACTCACATAACATTTACTTGATCTTTTTCATATTTTGTACCTTGCTAACGATACTCTTTGGGCTACTTTGTACAAATTTTCAGTGAATTTGGTTAATCAGTTTGCCTAGATAACACTTGTAAAAAAAGTGGTTCATTTTTGAGACACCCGATATGTGATTCTCAGTCAATTGATGACTTTGTAAACACACAAAACTTTTACAGATTATATGCAAAATATAATGAACCTGTAATACTTTATCTTCTCATTGTGATCGTATGAAGCCCATAAGCGGTCCATGTATCTTTCCTACCATCAGGAATTAAACTAACGATCTGTGTTGAATGTAACAATATTTTCGTCAATTTTCTTTATATTTTAAAACAGGATATATTAGTAGGACAAATATGTACAAGTTACATGAGTATTGTAATGTAATTGTATGGTGGTAGGTAGACCACACATTTGGTTGCCAAAATATTGTTTAACTTGAACTACATGCTATACGTAGCCGTATGAACAAGAGAAATGTATTTATATCAGTAAGGTCATAATCGCAATAAGTGTTGCCAAAACGATCGACTGCAGTGTTTGTGTGGCGCAAGATGGTGAGTTCTCGGATGGATCTGTTACGCCAGATGATGTGTCATCGTGGGATGGATCTGGGTAGAATCTATTGTGGAAACTAACTGGGATGATGGTAGGCGCATGAAATCTGGCAGTCTCTTTCATTGTCTTTGCATCTACCAATGCAAAGAAGGCTGAAATGATCAATACACATTGTATAGGTTGCCACATCGTTTGTGAGCAATTCTGAGAATAAACCTGCATTTGTTAAAGATGCAACAATTAGTGCATGGGGCCCATTCAACGATCGTCGACCATTGTCAAAATATATTTAAATTAGGATATTTCATCAAGACTAACATATATTTTTATTATCTACAAAGAAACCCCCTGGATGAACATCATTTCAGCTGATATTCCTCTTGAAACGTGGTGGATCTTAAAAATCTATAAGTGGGACTCCCTTTATAGAAGCTTTGAACTGAATTTACACTTCTTAATGCTGAAATTGAGAGTTTATTCACACATTTTAAGAAAATAGGTATGTCAAAGAAGATGTTAAGCCAAATATTGACCTCGCTGATAACTCAGAAAAATAAAAACATTCGAATTTTCTCTCTACAGTTCTTGTTGCCCCTTTAAGGGGGGGGGGGGGGCTCACATTTGACAACGTTGACAACTTAAATAGTTCTCAGAATTGTGAAAATTGCATGGTTTTGAATGCGAACATTTTAAAAGAAAATTGTAATACATCAGGTATGTGAAACTCATTTAGACATCTTGTTTCAACCATATCGGTTTCTATTTGAAAAACACACGACTTAAGAGTTTATGAGCAAATCTACTTTACTCGATATATTTAAATTCTGCAATTCTACTAAAGAAACAAAAAACTTTAAGCAATATTTTCAATATATATCGCATGGTCATGATTACCAGTTGTGTTGGCATTAAAATAGCACACATGAAATGTCGGTGATATCACACACATGATTCAGGCTGTGGTAGAATAAAAGAATTTGAATATATCAATTATCGTAAATTTGCCCGTGTATCACTCCTCGTCGAAATATAATGACGGCAAGATCTGCACTTTTATCTTACTTGTATTATCTGGGACGCTGATGCCGTTAAGTATCAATAATCCATCGTCCTCAACTGTGGCACCCGGTCTTGGGAGAAAAATAGGTTCCCATGGCATGTGTCCGAAGCCAGGGTCATAACGTAACTCTTCCTTTGTATCTACGTTCAACTGAAACAAGATTATATTTGTATCGATTCGAAGACGGCTATTTTGTAAAATGTAAGATACATGTTGTTCTAGCTTTATTTCAGGATCATCCTTATATCTTTTAGATTCTCTGGATTTGATTCAATACTGATGAATTTTATGATTTCAATTCTCCTCTTAATCAAAATACATTTAGTATCATATCGGTAACATTGTTACGATTTTGAGATAGGCTCCAACACTTTATAATCTCTAGTTATCAATTCTAATTCTTCTTATTGTCATTTTTATTTGGATTACATACTGGGTCTGAACAGATATTTCAAAGGTGCCACTCTGCGAATGATTAGGGCGTGATAATTACCGAATAATGAGGTTTGTCCTTGCTATCAAATCGTTTATTTGTATTCAAAATACTTACTAATGTATATCTAATCCAGAAAATTAACAAATAATTCACATTTTAAGTTATATTATGAAAAGACCACATAAAAATATCAATCGAACAATTCGAAAAATTATGAATAGGGACCCCATGTCAAATTTATTTTCAAAATATTGAACCTATTTACTCAAAAGAGAATCTCCCCTTTCTGATTCTTATTGCATGAAAAGATTATCAAACAAGGGGTCTAAAACATCTTCAAAAATATACTTGTATTGAAAGTCTAGTTTTGAAGATATCAATTTTCGATTACCAAAATGATGCTGAAAACAATGGATAATACGAGTTTTCCCTATGGGAAAATAACAGGGATTTGTGGTTTTTAACTTAAACGCATTTCAATATGCATCCCCTTTTCAGAAATTGTTCATATAGTGTAGAAGAAACTTTTGATATGTTTAAATTGAGAAAAGCAAGATCCTCTATTGAGAAAATAAGCCTAACATTTTTGAAAAAGTGCCAGGGTGGGGCCCTAATCCATAACCTTTCAGAGAGTTGGATTGATATTTTTTATCATGTGGGTACTTCACTTGAAAGAAAACATATTGTTTTAATAAAAAAAACACTGTATTTATGCCCAGAAAGTACTCATGGTGAAGAATTTGACCGTCTAAAATCACTTGCCATACTGCACGTGGTCTTTTTGCACCAATTTACCTTCAATATAGTTGAATTTTCATGCAGAACATCCATCACAAGGTAAGCATATTTGTACTCCTTTCCATGGAATGCATTATTAACCTGACTGAACTCCGCATTGACAGGATATTCCGTTGTCAGATGTTGCCTTGTAATACTCCAGTTGCTTGTGTCAATGACAAGTCTTGCGATATCTGTTACGAGATTTGTCTAAAAATTCACGAACGAAAAGTTAATGTTTTATACAGTAAGAATTCAATCAAAGTACATAGTGCCACAATAAATCGGTATTTATATACGAGGATCTCAAATTTATTATTGTTATTGAATGGTTTGAAGTGCAATACAGGACATATTGTGCTCGAGAAATTCTGTATTGGTAGGAGACGAAGTCCTGCATTGCATTTTGAATCATTCTATAACGTTTTTATCGTGTGATCTTAGGCCAAATAGGAGAAATCCCTGGAAAATATTCTTGCTCTGAGATTGTCCCCCCATGCCAAGATTTTCTGTATTGCTACGGAGATGATCAATCGCGTACCAATACTAGGTGAGGGGAGAATCTCAGTAGCAATACAGATTGGTACAGCACGAGAACTGGCCAATCAGAGGGGCTTCATTTTACAGATCATACGATAAATTTAGATATTGACTGCCAATTAAAGTTAAAAACAATTTTCATAAGAAGTACTAGAGTATGCAATACAAAATAGAATAAACAGAACATATATTCATGGTCTTTCACAAACTAGAATATCATTATGTATTAAACTTACTCCATTATACATTTCTTGGACTTTGAGATCATAGTATACTCTTTCATTGTCGTAAACCAACATGTCAGCCATTATCATTCCATCTTTTTCGTAAGCATTCAACTGAAACCACAAGAAGTGAGTAGCTCCAATAATTATTTGATATCATTTAGTAACAGGGACTTCCCCTTAACTTTCCATACATGGTCCTACACGCCTTATATGGATCTATCACATGACATTAAGTAAACAGTAAGTTCGATTCCTATATGGTCATATAAGCTTTATATGGATACATCAGATGGATACCACATGACCCAGTGCCAACTCTGAACTCTTGAAAATCCCCCTGAACTAGAATGCATTTATGGCGATGGTAGAATTACTTGTAGAGGTAGGTTAAGCATAGGTAAATTCGAATGAATCTTGATCGGTTTCGAGAGGTGGTCTGATTTTCATTGAAAAAGGTCCTCGGTTTAACACCGGAAGAGGCTCAAACCTAAAACAATTTACCCCTTTAATTTATTAGCGATATTATCCGGATTGTTTTCTTTTTGTTGCTGTGTTATGTAATTAAACAATTTTTAATGTTTTCCCATTGGCACTTGTCTTACGTATTTGCTTTTAATGCGTCTCGGTTTTTACACTTGGGCTCTTTATTTGCATGTTTGCACCGTCTTCCTGGTGAGTCACAAATATTTGCACTGTCTTCCTGGCGAGTCACAAATATTTGCACTGTCTTACCTGGTGAGTCACAAACATTTGCACTGTCTCACCTAATGAGTCACAAACATTTGCACCGTCTTACTTGGTGAGTCACAAACATTTGCACTTATTTACTTGGTGAGTCACAAATATTTGCACTGTCTTACCTGGTGAGTCACAAACATTTGCACTGTCTCACCTAATGAGTCACAAACAATTGTACTGTCTTACCTGGTGAGTCACAAATATTTGCACTGTCTTACCAAATGAGTCACAAACATTTGAATTGTCTTACTTGGTGAGTCACAAACATTTGCACTGTCTTAACTGGTGAGTCACAAACATTTGCACTGTCTTACTTGGTGAGTCACAAACATTTGCACTGTCTTACCTGGTGAGTCACAAACATCGGATCTATTTCCATTGCAGCAACGACCTCCATGTTTGATTTTCTCACTACGTAAACTTTACTTTTAAGTTCATTCTTAAATTTCCAAAACCTTTTAAACAATGGATCACCCGGCGAGGAATATACTTAAATGCAGATTAAAAATATTGTTTAACTGAGATGAGAATTAATATTATTAGTAATTGCTTTTCAATACCCAAAAGTTGAGGAGGGGCATTTATACAGCTTATAAATACATTATTATTAGATTTTTATTTGTACATGATTTAAAACATTACGATTCACATAAAGTAGAATCATTAATTTGTTGATAGAAATAATTCATAATAAGTCATAGAGTGTTACATTTGAGTAAATCTAGATCGTGAGATAACATAATCCTTGGGCTGCTGTCTGGGAAACGGACATGATAACAAACTAACCGAAAGCATCACAGTAATCCAACATCATAGATGTGCCGGGGATTATAATGTAGTTCTTGGTCATTGTAAATGAATGAAGATAGGGCATCAATTTTGTGGTATCTGGATATGGAGCTTCGGTTACAGGGTTGCATTCACCCAGAGATACATTCCCCATAATAATCTCTGCCTTAGGAATTCTCGTCTTGTTTATAACTTGGTATAAAATAAGCCTAAAAATAAATATATAAATGTATAATGCGTGTTATAACAAGGCATTTACATGCAAAATTTCACCACCTGCTGCTTATATATATTACAGACGTCGAACACAGACCGGCGAACTCCAACCGCCAAACATTGTTCACAAATGGTTGAATAGCAATATGTAACGACTTCTGGTGGTGACATAGAAGGACCACATGTATAAAATGTTATAACCTTGACATTGATAATAACTTTGAATTTAACATACGGACGCTTTTTGAAAGCATTTTTATGCAAAATGATATCAAATGATGTCATTATTCGCCAACATACGCGAGTCGCACGAAAGAAGAATGCCATTCAACAATAAAATTCACTCAATATCTAATATTCAAAAACGGACTTTTAACGTACGATACACCAAATACCGTTTAATGGATATGACTAAAGTCATTATAACGTTCAATTCGAATCTTACTTTGACTCCAATGGACCTCCCATCCCGACTGGTGTCAATGGTACAACGGCACCTGTTACCATCCATGGCTCCCCCGTTTCCATGTCGATTCTTTCATGTACTGGTTGATTGATCAAAATAGTCCCATGGGGCTGTCCTATATCCGGTGTATCCTCAAATGGGTATTCTCCCCTGCTCTCCATTGTATTTTTATTTAGGAGCATAGCTTATAGGTGAATAAAATTTAATCATATATGTAACAGTCATAAAGAAAAAAAAATTAATTCTACTAATTTTCATTGGTCTATTTCAATTTATCACGATTTTATGTCAATTTTACAAAATATGTCTAATATCAAGAAATGTTTAAATTAATATCACCTTCGTATTTTTGTCTGACTTTAGATTTTACAAGGTGACCGAAAATGACCAGGTAATCCATACAAATAAATAAGTAAAAAAACAAACAAATAGGGCAATCTTTACCTTGATGATATTCCGTTACTGCCAGAATCTCCTCGTCTAGCTTCCAGAAACTGACACATGGATTGGTATCTAGCTTATCGGGAAATAATGCCTGGTTCTCGATCATTCTAGTATAATTCTGAAAAAATTGTGAGAAGCTCACAAACCAATGCTTTGTCATTAAAAGGTTAAATTGCACTCATTTGGGAGAACTCGCGTCGAACGTAAATGACCCCCAGGAATTGTTGTCCCTCTCTTAATTGGCTTAAACGGGGACGTTTTTACAACGATTTCCCCAGACCTTCATACTCAATCTGGCAAATAAAGACAAGTTGTGATGATCCTCCCATACTTAATACAATGTTATGTGATTATTCTGGAGGATTATCACTTTGTTTAAATTTCTCTTACCTTTATTTATCAATTATGTTTGTAGATACTTCATAATTCAGGAGTTTGTTCAGAATTTTCTTATTTCACTACTTCCTTGTTCAGCCATGTTTGTTGACGGTCTCCTTGAAAAGTTTATATGTGAATTTCCTACACTTGGCACATTATGTCAACTTTATATCAAATGTTGGTCATGTTATTGTTTATTTTAGCAATATTTAATGTTTATTATGTGTGATTGTTTATAGGGGCCAAATTAAAGAGAGAATCAGAGATAGCGAGCAGGTTAAACAAAATATTGTTTCAATTTTAGAATATTTTTGGCTCATGTCATTCCTTGTCATGTCTAATTTCTAAAAATCACAAAAGTGCATACTTCATTCAAGGAAAACTACCATTCTTATTATTTGGGAGAATTTAAACATTTTCCACCCATTTTTGCACTTTGAATCATCAACAACATCACCAATTTATAACAAATTGTGAATCTTTTGGGATATATTGTATTTGATATTGTAAGGGATAGATTGGTAGGTCAATTATACAAGTTGCTTGTAATTTTGTCACCCATATAGATCTGATTCTGCCTTTAAAGTGTGTGCCAAAGTTTAAAACTGCGCAGGCGCACCTCTCTCGCTAAACTATATTAAAGAGATTACCGGGTACACGATTCAGAGGTAAGCCAGGAAGGCGAACGATCTTCGTCTCGTGATGATTTCCCATATAATCGTAACCAGGGAAGTTTCACCATTGAAATTGAAAATTACTATTAGATATACTTTGTAGATGTTATTTATGAAGCTATTTAGTGTTTGCATCAATCAAATGGCTCATTTCGAACATATAAAAAGTATTTGTGTTTTGTTTCCCAGGGAATTGTATTATATGTAGTACACACATAAATAGTGTACATTATACCGTACTTGAATAGCCTGGTTTACATAATATTGAAGGGCATGCTGATTACATGCACACGAGTACATGAATGATAGGCCAAGCAAATGGGCTCATAAAAGGCCCAAACATCCCAAAAATTGCAACAGTTTTTAAATTAGTCTTATATTATGTATTAATATCAGTTGAAAAACATATCAAAAATATAGAAAAATGTATGCAGTGGACAAATATGAAATTTCACTTCCTAGGTACCCCCTACAACCCTACCCCAAAATTGAGTATTGGTAGGAAACAATTTTTTCTTCCCAAATGGAATACTTTAGTCAAGTATTCAAGCTTTACTATGATAGATCACATATTCACAAATAATTAAAATATTATTTTAATCAATTTTGAGACCAGTAATTGGTCATTTGACCCCAAAGTATAACAAAATAGGCCACAAAACAGGCATGTTATCACATATCTATTTAGATATTTTAGGATCAGTTTGTCAGAAAAGCATGAAAAAAATCATGGTGTTACATATTCATATGAACTTCATATTTGATGAGTGTCAGAATTCTAAGGTGTATACTTAGGAAGAAAAAAATTATTTCATTTTCATAGTTTTGCCCCGTCCACTATAGGGGAGACTATAGTTTTGATGATTAACTCCCACAATGCATCACATTTGTATTAGAGTTGACATCTAAATCATTTATATAGGCTTGTCATCATCTAAAATACAAGTTTTGTGAAGGTTTATACCTTATTAGTATGAAAAATAGGAATTATTAGTTGCACCATGTGAAATGTTAAGGTGACCTCACTTTTATTTGATGAATAATTACATATCACCACTCTGATAATTGCTCTATACTAGGCTTATATAAATAATGTAAGTTGTAGTTTTTGTGGAATTTAATATTGTTTAAATTATTAATTACGATCCGCAATTACAAAATTTGCATATATTTAAATTCATCAGATAAATAAATCATTACATAAGAGTACATTACTATGGAACTATCAATTGGATGTATAATGCTGTAGAAACGAATTTTTGGTTATTAAACGGAATTTAAACTGACAGAGAACATTAAAATCTCAGATATCTGGGGAGTCTTTCATTAATATAATTTCAGTGCATAGGAATAATGGTAATTCTGTCTGACAGGTTGGAAAACATTGAGTGTACATGTGCTGCATTCAGAATCGGATGCAGATATTGTGATTGTGAAAACCAAATTGTGCAATCCAAAGTGTCCAAACCTCAAATACAATATTCATACAGATCTCCTTGTGCTTCTCATTTATCATGCACAAAACACATACTTCAATATTTTCTTCAAACCTGAACCAAAAGCAGCAACCCAAGAAACAAAATGTTGGAATATAAATGAAATAAGATTGTCTTTGGAAAAGTGGTCTGTGACAATATTTTGTTTCTTTTCTGGGGTGTGACATCGCATTCAGGTTATATATGGCATAGACAAAAGGCTATCATTGAGGCAGATAAAAAAGAGTGAGTTCTTGAGAAAACAAGCGGTTGTTTTTAAATTACCAAAAGCACTGGTGATCCGCTCGATTACGCTTGTCGTTTCGGTAACAAAATGTCTAAACGTCGAAAGTACGATATTTCTTTTTTCCTTTTTTTCACGCGTTGTAGGCAGAATCCCCACGATGTTTTTTTTCTCACAGAATTGTTGATTTAATTCCTTACTTAAGTTAAATAAACGGTTTGGGTTAAAAGTGCAGATCTTAATTGTTTATCGAAATACCGTTTATGTAACTTAAGTGAGGAATTAAATCGAAGATTCTGTTGTCTTCTGAACTATTTGTTCGCAAATATGTACATTTTTTAAACATATAATACTGATACATTTTTGTGATAACAATGTTGTGGGAATTCTGCCTACAATGTGTGAAATAAAGAAAAAAGAAAAATCAAACCTTCGATGTTCCGACATTTTGTTACAACGTAAACAAGTAGAAAACCAGTGAAATGCAAGCAACTCTGTCATTGCAGAGGAACATGCTCTTTTGTCAATTTATGGTGGAAAAATGGTGGAATCCTAAATTATCTTAGGCTTCTAAAATTCTATTAAAAGAGAGCAGCAAGATCTGAATTATTGCAGCCCCGTGTTCTTCCTCCATTTTCTGATGCTGCGGAATACCACAGTTCCAGAGTGTACCATCAGATCCAGGAGTGGGAGGGAAATAAACTGCCTCCATTATAATTGGGCTGGGAAATAAGCAACGAAACTATGTACCAATTGCCTAAATGCAGCTCCCCTTTCTCAGAGATCATCCATTGCATGTGTAAGGCAGATTATATTTCTATGAGATGTTCTTGTAGAAAAATGAAATAACTGTTCTTTGACATGTAAGGTATGCAAAGGCATTTGTGCAAATACCTCCATTACTGATCATGAGAATAATGATGACTAAATAATGAACACTGGCAGATCTGGGCCCCTTCCACCCCCTTGGGCGAGCCCAGAAAAAAAATTGGGCCCAAAAAGGCCTTAAGGCCCCGAAAAGTGGGCCTTTTTGGTCATAAATGAGCCTTTTAAAGCCTTATTTTTTAATTGAAGAAAATGGGTCTCAATATTTCAAAATTTGGGCCCACTTCAGGGTTTTAGGGGCCCAAAATTTTTTCCACGGAAGTTTTTTCTCAGACCTGACATTTGCCCCCCCCTTGTTGGTTCCCATATCCGCCCCTGATGAGGGCTGGTGATAGACAAGGTTGTAACTGATTGTTGTTACAACATAATAGTATTAAGCTTATTTAATCAGCATTCTTTTTTGCTCTCTATAAGTAAGACACATATATGAAGGTTAAGATTACAAAATTAAGACAGCATTTTTGATAATGAACATAACATAATCGAACCAGGCCCTGTATAAAGACCAGGGATTTACTTTGCGTTACACTAGTTAACTCAGGAGGATTTATTAATGTAGAAACCCTTTCTTCATTTTTTATTGAATTTCATCTTGAAATCGAACATTCTTCAGTTGAACTTCTTCATTTCATTTCTCAATATCACTGTGTGGTTAAGAACACCTTAGTCAAAAGTAACAATTTTTCCTTAATACAGGGCGAGCCAAAAAGGTAACCCAAACAAATCTTAATAATCCAGTCCAATCATCCTGCATGGATTTAGTGTCATATTTGGCAGAATTGAGTCTTTGTCAATGTATTATCAATCTACCCAGTCTCAGTGGTCTCTAGTGGTCACGATTTTATGGCCATTTTATACCATGCCATGAAATATGGGTGTCATGCCTGGAGGCCAACTTGAACGTATCGTGCGTTGTTATTCAAATCAGGAGCATACAAATCATGTGTTATGACTCTCATCTTCATTCTTATCTCTTGTTTTAATGTTTCAAGTGTTGTTAGTATCGAAAAAAGGTCCACAGATAAAGAAAACTGGTGGTATTGATGTCCAGTCAGTTAGGCACATTTCGATATTTTGAGCACATTTTGTAAATGGCCATAAAATCGTGACTATTAAGGATAGATCAATGACACTTAGTAGAATGAAAGAACATTGAACAAGGTAATTGTGCCAAATATGATGTCAAACCCATGCTGAATGACTGGGTTATTAACAAACATTTGGTTGGATTACCTTTTTTGGCTCATAAACTGATGTCAGGGACAGGGATATTTAACATTTTGTTGCCTTTTCAAGGACATTTTTTGACCACTGATTGTAACAAATTGTTCTCTGTTTTACCAGAAAAGGTATATTATATATCAAATTGAATTTAAAAGGAAAAACATTTGATAATTTAACAGTTATCAACTAAAAGTAGGGCTTCCCCTATATTTCACCTGGCATTTGCTGTTTTTCTACT